TAGACGTTAATTGGTATTTACAAATAAAAAAAGTGTCTTAGATTATTGCCAAAGAAGTATCATTTTGAAATCATATTACAAATTTGCCATTACATTGACTTATTCCTTTATTTTATTCTGTTATTTCAAAGGCACATAATTCCTTAGAAATGAAAAAATATTTTCTTTTTTATAAAGGGCAAATATGCGCATTATTACTTTAAATACATTGTTTTAGAGCATGTCCTGAAAAAAGTAGTGCTGAATGTGAAACTGTTTTGTCACACAAGTAGCAAAATGTAAAGAAAGTACATGTAGTATTTTGACATCCATACATAATACTGAATAAACTATTTCTTCTTCTTATGATACTAAATCACTATAATTGTACACAAATAAGTACAAGAAGCAAAGGATGATTCAAGTAATTGGCCGGTAAGTTATTTTCAGGAAACCATAACAAGTACCCATAAATTAAAAGTTATTTAAGCATTTATGGGTCATAATGGGCCTTAAAAGCATGACAGACATGTTATGTATTTAATTGATGTATTAAGAGTGTGTGTTAAAAATTCTATAGGTTTTCATCAACACAAAAAGGACACAATTCCCAGCGATGTATTTCTTATTACTGAGAAAATGATAACTATGATTCATTAATAACAAACAGTTTTAACCTTCTCACATAAAACCCTATATTATTACAAACTAAACAATGGGTAATATCTTTATGTAAAAGATTTAATTCTTAGATTTCATGGGGAGTAGGGTCAGTAAAATACACTTCAATTACAATTTTGTCTGGATATGAGTCTTTTTACCCCAACCACCCTTTCATGAGCTTTTTTATATTTGGTGATCTGTTATAGTTTCCATATGTTACCTATTAACATGGATCCATTTTTCTTGTAATGTTTTCTGGTCATAAGTACACGTGTAGTGATTCAGTACTTTGTACAGATTTCATTTTGGTGATTGTATTACAAATAATTTGCACATTCAGTGCAACTGTATTCAGGTAATAAGCATCTTACATTCTCTTAAACCATTGTTTAATTTTTTTCAAAGGAATGTCTGCCCTTCCTAAAAAGGGAAAATTATTCATTTCGGAAGCATTATGTGCCTTTAAGTGCATTCACAATAGTAATGCAAACAAACAACATTTCTTGCGCAAGTTTGTCCTCTTGACAAATGACATTTCAACCCCCTTATGGTATGTCTATGATTACAATTTTCGGTTTATCATACAAAATTTGTTTCGTAAACGCTATAAAATAATAAAAGTAACATATTATTTTTAATTTAGGCAACGTTATTAAGGTCGACCCATAGTTTGTACTGAAACTAATATGACTTTTAAAATCTTTTATGACGCCAATAATCATTATCAATTTTTTCTCGACATAGCAAATGACAAAACTAACACTCATCTTTCAGAACTCCGCTGTTAAGTGGCTTAAACATATAAAGTCGAAGACATAATATCTTTATTTTTCATCAGTTCACAAAGAGTGACAACATGATACATTTCAAAAATTAAGAAAACATTAAATATGGGTAAAAATATAGTAGCTAGTAAACTAGCAAAGATAAGATTTTAGAAAAGTGAGGATCCTATCATAAAGAAAATAAATAGTTGATTAAACGTTTCTTCTTTTGTTTTCAAGCTAAATGTTATTTCCGATAAAGTGTCAGGTAATATATTCAAATAAGAGAAATTGATTGAAAAATGATAAAATAAAAAGCTCATAGGCGACACAAAAATTGACTGATACAAAATTATTGTACACCGCACGATTTTTATTATTATTTCCATTTTTCTTGTTATGTCGATTAGATTATTTAATCAAGTGTTACATAAGGTAACGTTCCTATTCTAATAGGCGTGTAGCCTGTGACCTACATCCGCATTACATATACCCAGTCTATATTAAGTAACAGAACACAACTGATCTATAATAAGTTACGCGGAATCCTCCACATGAGTAATTTAATTGTTAATAAATGAGTGGTAAAAACATTTAAATGATGATCAACTTTACTAACTTTAAATTTTAAGATTACAGGTGTTAGTTTCATTGAATATAATATTACATGTAATGTAAATCAATCAAACAGTTACTTGAGCAAAGACAGTCCGTATACTTTTTGGTATGTAAGACATTGCTTATTAAAAAAAGATTATTAACCATTTTTAATTTAAGGTGTAACTAGAAACTTTATAAGATGGTGTAAAAGCTACACTGCATTACTTCATTTTTAATAAGATTTATTGTGCTTTTCCTTAGTAAGTAAATTCTCACCAGTCATTTCAATCAACATTGTATAAGAATTCAAAAAATATATTTATTCATTTTGTGCTTTTAAGATAAATTAGTCAAATAAATGATTGTTCACCTTTAATAAAGAAAGGAATTTATTGATTCATCCCTGGTGTTTTATTTTTCAAAACATGTAATCAACATATGTTGCCACATAACAAAACGGATTTATTTCCATAGCGACAGACTTTAAAGATTGCACAATGAGAAGTTATCACGCGCCGTTATATCTCCCTGTAAAATGTTAATATCTCTGTTATTACCGAGTGTCTATATCTACGGAATGTTATAAAAGCCATCTCATATAAGTGTGTATAAGTCGCGTTACTCGACAGTACGATAATAATAAAATGGTAATACAATAACGATACTCGACAGTACGATTATGACAAAACGAGACAATACGATATCACGATAATGATAATACGATACAAAGTCGTGTTTTCGTTATTTTACATTGCCGTCACCATACTGCCGTCAGCATATTATTGCAATATGGCTTAATCGTACAATCGTACTATCGTGTTATCGTTTTGTTGGGTAGAAGTGTATAAAATTTAATCCTTGTTTGAAAATAAAGTAAGAATTCTTAAATCTCATTTCTAAACCCATTATTACTTTAGCCTTTAATAGATTGATTTAATTATTTTTATTTTTTATTTAATTATTTAATAGCAATATGTCAAATACTTTTATAAATATAAACAAAATAGAAAAATATACACAAATTGATATTTAATGACTATACTGGTATTTTTCAGAATGAAAAGACATTTGTGAAAAAGATAAAAAATTGATTTTTCACGATTTACAAAAATCTTTTTTCAATTTGCCCTTTTAAAATTGAAAATACTTGGGATAATTCATTTTATTAAATTTTATTTTTTTGTTAGGTAAAACATAAAATTAAAATGGGGAATAATTATATATTTAAATTTTTAAAACCCCGGTTAATGGCCAACAAAAAGTTTTTTCCTTTTTAAAAAAATTGGGCCAATTGAGCTCAGATCAGTATCATACTGAAAGGTTGTGTGACTGTAAAATAAAACGTCAGTAAGATAAACCGACAATGCGACAGTACGACATACTGTAGACAGATAATACGACAACGTTGTGATAACGAAAACGCAATAGTATGCTAGGTGAAAACACAACAGTACACTGATGGTAATGAAAAAGTACCATAACAAGAATTCTGCGATACGATAACGAAAATGCGACTGTGCGATAACGATATACGATACTGTATAACATTATCGTTATTGTAATAACGTTCTGTGCCGTTTTCGTTATTGTACTGTCATGTTTTATTCGTCGTACTATCGAATTTCCATTATAAATACTTTGAGAAATATATAAATTTATATGTTAAAACTTAATTTTTAGTATAATGAGTAATATCGAGGTGTTGGCCCAACGGTATTCTATACATATTTTCTTCTTTTAAACTTTCAAAAGCGTATAACGTATAACTTACTAACAATGCTGTTTTTTTTGTTTTGTTTGTTTTTTTGTTGTTTTTTTTTTGTCATTGGTTCCACCATTCATTATTTTATAATGACAAGTTATATATACAAAAGAAATAGCTTTATAGTTTAATCAAAGATGAAAAAATACTTCTGTACGCCGGTCAATATGTGCTTGTATGATGTACTATATTAGGTTTAATATTCCTGGACATTTCTTGTCCATATGGTCTCTTTCCGTCGGCGAGGGTAAACACAACCAAACGTTTCAAATATATATCTTTACAATACGAATGCACAGTGGATCTTTGTTTCTAAACAGGAAGTATGATATTTATGTATGTTGACAAGCAATAAAAATAACAACAAATAAGTTTACATCATGCTAGGTTTAATTTGCAAACTGTATGGCATTCATGCGCGTTATATGTACTCCATGACTCTTCCAAGCAAACAAAGTTTAAAGTAAAACATCTTCATTAGACATATACATATGATGTACTTGCACATATATATTATGACATATACGTACAAATATTATATTATATGAATTTAGGTATAGTATGTGGCAAAAATATACGTTTATCCTTTGTGACTCCGTTAATATGGTATCGCATGGGCGCCGTGCATATATTTTGACGTGACGTTATTTGCGTTATATAACCATAGCGTTAGCGCCCAAAATATAAGCGTTACACTATAGGGCGCCAATAAAAAATAGAATTTTGAATTGGTGTAAGTTCTTTACTGAATTTATATGAATGTAGGTATAGTTTGTGACATAAATGTACGTATATCATATGAAATAAATGTACGTATATAAGATGATATAAATGTAAGAATTGTATACAAATTATAAATGTATTTTTAATAAGTGATATAAATGTACTTCATTTACATGATACTGATGTACATAAACTACATGATATATATGCACGTCCGTGTTATATATGATATAAATGTACGTAACATATATCATATAAATTCACGTATTGTATGTGATATGAATTTTCATATAATTTATAAAATAAATGTACATATATTATCAGATATTATCAGATATAGTTTTACATGAATGATATCAATATATACGTATATACTATACATGTATATTTTAATATAAGTGCACATATATCATATGATATTAATGTAGATATATTATATATTATAATAAAGTGTAACACTATAATTATTTATACGATTATAATGTATATTATACTATATATTAATAAGTGTACATATATTATATGATTTGATTGTTCTTGTATTATATTATATAAATGTATATACTTATATGTTATTGTGTTTTCATTCATTAAAAACGATTACAGTTTCATTAACATATTCACATCTTGAGCAATTTCAGATATTTCATATACATAATATATATCATACACTTTGAATGAAATGTGCTCCGAGTTGAAAGATCAATAAATGAATGTTCAGTGTCCATGCATAACAAAATAAACTAGAACCAACACAATGCCTCCGATTATAATTTAAACGCCATAATTCTTGTTGAGATATATAATCAATATAAACAAAAATAAATCAACATCTATGTGAGATCTTTGATACACTAGGTCGCTTCACACCATATCTTGACAAACTCTGAAAAATAAACCACAAAAAACGATTTTTTAACGCTTCTCGAAAACTACGTGTATGATTCTTAAATTACGGAAGATAATACATATGTAAATTAACGAGATAAAAAAAATGTAAATTAACAAATATCATTCTATCAGGGCATTGTTGTTTCCATCTAAACACTGATGAACACAAACTATGTTAAGTATGTTTAAATCTATAGATGAGTTCACCTGATCTTTTATCTTCTTTTTTGCCAGCATTTGAAGAATTTAAAGTGGATTGCATAACCTCAACATTATTCAATTATTGACCAGTGTGCCATTGAATATGATGTGATATTCACCGGCAGATGACATATTGACCGAGGCGACAGACGAGGTCAGTATGACTCTCTACGGGTGAATATCACATCATTTAGTCAATAATTGTTTAACTAAGAAATAAAAATAAATCCTTATACATGTACAACTTTTGACTGATTCGTTAAAGCGCGGAAAAAAGACGCACGTGTCAGGCGTGCAACGACAACGCGAACGCTGCGCATAAAAAAGTAATTCAAGTTTATACTCACCATTGCATAGTAGCCGTTTAGTATAATAGTAAAGTAATGATATTTTAATCGAGAAATATATGCCATAAAGAACAAAACGCAACAATTAGTTTTAATGCCCACGCGTTATTAAATGTACGGTGTATGGTCATTGGATATGAGCCTCTATCTTTTTTTAGAATGTGAAAATCCAATTCAGCCAGTGAATATGATACTACACCCAGTGAATATGATTTTATAAAAAGTTATGTTGACTATTGTTTAGACCAATGAGATTGCAGCTATTTTAGATCATATAATAAGAATAAACTTCAGTCATTACAGTTATGAACTTGTTACATTAAAAATTGAACAATTGGTTTTCCATATCTTATACTGGAATGCATGGAACCTAAAGAGTTCAGAATTTTGAAAGGTCCTCGATTTCATAACAAAATATATACAAAATAACAAAATACTGTTAAGAAATAAAATTACGAACATTTTAGTTCGTGAATGAAAGATGCAACTGCATCAGGAAAGATACCGCTATAGCTTCGATTCGAACTAGCGAACCCTCAACTTGCAAGCGAAAGTAACAATGCTCTGACCAATGAGCAAAAGAACCAAATCCTTGACGCAGTTATTGTTATGAATGCAGGTATGTATTATACCATACTAATACAAACATATTATTGTCTTTTCACTCATTTCATCCAGTTATATGCCTAAACTAAATCTGACAAAATTGACATCAAAATTGCTTTGCGTGAAAATATAAGAACATAAACTTCCTCACCTTCATAATTTATCTTTCCGTCCCCATCAACATCTGCTTGCTTCATCATATCTTCCAGTTCCTTGTCAGTCAAACATTCTCCTAATTTCTTCATGGCCACTCTAAAATATGTTATTAAATAAAACCTTATAAAACTGATGACAAAGTTGTTCATGTATTTGAATATATATAAGTACATTTCGCCATACAGATAGTCCATGAAGCATCCGTGGCAAAGTGGTTAAGGTCGTTGACTTTTGCCATTCTTTCTACAATATAAACTAACCAAGTTAAAATAAGTTAAAATCAAAGAAGTAAAATACAGAAACCGTACATGTTTAACCTCATCAAATGTTTTTACAATATATTTAAAATATCTCTAAGTTTTATAGATTCTGATTTTAATCTTATCTAACGTTAAAGTACCTCAATTCTTTGGCATCTATGTAACCAATTTCCGTCTTTATCAAACGTTCTGAAAGCTGATCGTATAACTTCTTCCCTTTGTGAGTAGTTCTCGTCAATCTTGAAAAACCAACAGTTACAACAAAGTTAAAGCAGATTTGTTTTATAAAATGTAAGTCATGTTCAACATCCTGGCCATGATCACCGGAATATCATTTTATCGGACATATAAATCTGGGGATTCTTTCTCATCGTAGTATTGTAGCTCGTGTCATAGCACTTGGAATATATGTCAACATATCTGGTATTCATATCTTTTGATTGAAGTAAACCTTACCTGGAATCATTTCGTACTGTACGAAAGAAATCGCATTGTTTAAAGCTTGTAACAGCTCCATCCTTGATACCAGATAGAGTGTACTGACACTTGAAATGGAAATAAAATAGCTACATAGTGGAAGTAATATTCTCTCGTCTTCAATTCTTAACTTTTTTTCTTCTGCGTTCGGTTTCGTGGAAACAAAAAATAACACGTTAATTGAAAAAAAAATATACATACTGACTTTTGCCATCTCCTGTTGCATAAATGCGTAAAATTCTTGAAATTCAATCCTGCCGTTTCCTGAAATGTAATAAAATAAATGGTTATAATTACTCTAATTTTCGAGATATCTTTTTTATTCGATAAGGATATTCTGGTAATATTCAACAAAAGTGGGAAAAGCATGAAAATGGAAGAAATTGGATATGGTGAAGGTTATATAGCTGATTGTTATGTGACAAACACTTAAAACCAGATTAGTCAAGTTTGAGAACTTTAAATTAGCAGAATTGTTGTTTCTTTTTATTTGACATAAGCATCAATATTCATTTATAAGAATTAATTATAAAAATTTGAAAATGAATTCATTGAGGCATAAGTTTTATTTAGATTATTCTATATGAGCTACAAACAATTAGGGTTTTTTGCTTTCACAAGTGCATGCAATGCAAGTAATTCAAAATTCAAAATTTTCACCATTTCATGTTTAAATGTTGAATTCTGCTTAAACCCGGTGCTAGCGGGCGTGAACATAGTAGCTTGCACTTTCTAGTACCGTTTTCATGGAAAAAAGACTAATCGAACCAGGTCTGCAACATTTTCAATTTTGCTTTGCCTTTTTTTAAGCATTCTTTAGGGATTCTAAAATTTTCACCAAAAAACGGGCTATAAATAACTTTACATAAAGTCAGTTATGATAAATTCTGTTTGTTAAGAAATAGAGAAAAATAAGAATCCCTAAAGAAGTCAAACTGTTGTCGTAACAAGTATATTACATTGCGTAAGTGAATTTAATTATGTTGCAAAACAAGAATATTCTACCAATTTCAGACAGCCCAGTTCAGCTGTATTACTGTAACAATACATAAAAGCAACATAAATAAATTAACTGTGGTGGCATGGCCGAGTGGTTAACCACGCGGATTAAGTAACTACGGATCTCTTCCTACGTATGTTTCAAACCCCTCAGGCAAGCCGTTGTTTCTTTTTCAAGCAAAGAAATTTACCACTCGTTGCTCAGTACTGGTTGGTTCCAGGAACGGATTCTAGAGTGTGTCTGAAAGCGTTAAAGCTTTCTACACAATCGAAATATAAATAAAAGTTTGTAAAAACCAAATCAACTACCGTTAAATCAAAGGTCCTCATGGCTCCGACACCTCTTGTTGTGTTGTTGGGCTTCATACCGAGAAACCTCTCGCCTTGCCAAGTTCCTGCTGCTGATATCGACTTATCATTGTTCGTATCAAAAATAATCGGAACAACTCGCGAATTTCTGTAAATAGTATTATAAAACCTGTCTGTATTTCAGAGATATTGCATTTGTTATTAAAGTTGATTGGATGAAGTTTTTGTTATTTATAATTTATAATCATGTTAAATTTAGGCCACAAAGCTTTGAAGACACAATGATTATGTTACCAAAGTAAGGTCAAGTTTTTTATATAAATCGTTTATATTTGATAAGATGACTTACAAACACTTTACTGTGTACAAGGTAGTATAAAAAGTATTGTATAATTTCAAGTACTCATAAAATAACAAAAAATAAA